GTAGTAGTTAGTAGTAGTTAGTAGTAGTTAGTAGTAGTTAGTAGTAGGTAGTAGTAGTTAGTAGTTAGTAGTTAGTAGTTAGTAGTTAGTAGGTAGTAGTAGTAGTAGTAGAAGTAGAAGTAGAAGAAGTAGTAGCAGGAGTAGGAGTAGGAGTAGTAGTAGGAGTAGGAGAGGAGTAGGAGTAGTGTTTTGTCGTTGTGGTAGTAGTAGTAGTGGTAGTGGTAGTGATAGTGATAGTGGTCGTGGCAGTTGCTGTTGGACACAGTTCGGGGCCCGAGCTTCGGGGCCCGAACCAGGGAAACTTCCGGGGCATGAGCAGTAGTAGTAGTAGTAGCAGTAGTAGTAGTAGTAGTAGTCGTGGTAGTAGTAGTAGTAGTAGTTGTAGTAGTAGTAGCACCCAGCATCATCCGGAAGGCAACGCGAGACCCCCTAAAGCAGGTGGGCCGAAGATGCCAACCAGGAGTTCCAGAGGGGTGGTTCTTAGACCAAAAACTGAACAGCAGAAACTGGACAGAGGGGTGGTTCTTTTGTCAATGAAATCATGGAAAGCAAAATGCCTTCATTTCTGCACCAACCTCCAGGAATAAACATATTTGAGAAATATGTATACCCATATACATACTTGAGGCCAAGGGGGGTGGCGAAAGCTAGCGCTCCAGAATAGATCGGTATGGGGCAAAGGAGTATGCACTTGATCTCGAAACCAGGGAGTGGAAAGAATATTGGTATTTTAGGATGCGAGGTCTAGACACAGACGTAGCTTGCTCACCAAGAAATTTGAAATGTTTGGGTGTTGGATTGGAAACATGTACGGTTACCTGTAGTACACTGTAGTCTCTTTGAAGAAGCACATGGCCATGACCCAGCGATGCGGTTGTGAAGGTGGCCGAGAGGAGTAGCTTCACAAGAAGCAGAAAACAGGCTGAAAGAAAGAGCGCGGCCGAATTTTTCCGCATGCAGTGAGAGTGTGAGAGTGAGAGTGATGAGGGGGGGGGGGCTTCGACCTGAAAAATCAGGGGTTAGGATTTGCACCCGGTCGAAAGAAACCTTGCTATCGCAAGAGTAACTCCAGCTAGCTTCGACTGAATGGTTTTAGAAGACAGTTTCAACCACTTCGTGTGCACCTCAACCCGGACTAACGGTCGTCTTAGCTGCGATCTGCTGTCCGTCGTCTTCCACTTCAAGGATCTCAAGTCGGAGGTGATACGTGGAGCTACACTCCCAGGTGAAGAGTCCTTTATATGTGGCTCTTAGCCCGGATCCTCCTGCGAGAGAAGAGAGAGAAGAGAGAGAAGAGAGACAGAAAGACGAGAAACAGAGAGGAG